ATCATTGGGTGTATAAATATTTATTATAGTTATGTCCTCCTGGTGTATTGACCCTTGAATCATTATATAGTGTCCTTCCTTATCTTTTGTGGTGGATTTTACTTTAAAGTCTATTTTGTCAGAGATTAACATTGCCACTCCTGCTCTTTTTTGAGTGTTGTTTGCTTGATATATTTTTTCCATCCCTTGAGTTTTAGTTTGTTTGTGTCTTTAAGGTTTGTCTCTTGTAGGCAGCATACAGACGGTCATGCTTTTTTATCCAGTCTGCCACTGTCTGTCTCTTTACTGGTGCATTTACTCCATTTACATTCAGCGTAATTATTGATAGGTGTGAGTTTAGTGCTGTCATTTTGATGTCTTTTTTTGTGTGTTCACAGTTTCTTTCTTCCACTTAATTTTCTGTGCTGAGTCATTTTTATTTCTGTATTTTCTTTTCATCTTTTTCATTGTTGTTGATTTTGTGTTTGCTGAGCCTCTACATTTTTCTAGTTTTTTATTTTGACTTGTAGAATTGTTAGTTTCTTTTGTGGTTACGTTAATATTTGCCCGTATTTTTCTAAGTTTATACGAGTCTTTTATTTCTTCATATTGCATTGACTTCTTCTACATGTGCAAAATCTATGTCTGCATTTTTTAAGTCCCTCTGTTTTGTTTTAATGTTGTCATCTTTTACATATTGACATCTGTTTCCCTGTTTTCAGTGTTTTAGCTTTGAATTATTTTTGTGACTTCCCTATCTGGGTTGATGTCTGGTTGCTCTGTCCTGTGTTCTAGTCTTGAGTTCTTATCTGATGTTACTGATTTTCTAACCAGAGGACTTCCTTTAGTATTTCTTCTAATTTTGGTTTGGTTTTTGCAAATTCCCTACACTTCTGTTAATCTAGGCAGGCCCTAATTTCACCATCATATTTGAGAAACAGTTTTGCTGGATATTTAATTCTTGGCTGACAGTTTTTTTTCCTCAAGGCTTTATATGTCATCCCATTGCCTTCCTGCCTGCATGGTTTCTGCTGAGTAGTTCGAGCTTAGTCTTGTTGACTGTCCTTTGTAGATGACTTTTCATTTTTCCTTAGCGGCTCTTTAAATTCTCTGTCTGTCTTTGGTGTTGGCAAGTTTGATTATAATATGTCTTGGTGACTATTTTGGGATCTACCTTTTGTGGGGTTCAATGAGCGTATTGGATAGGTATTTTCTCATCTTTCACAATTTCAGGGAAGTTTTCTGCCAACAAATCTTCAACCATTCTCTCTGTATTTTCTACAGTTATCTGCCCCATTCTGGTACTCGAGTCACTCATAGATTATTCCTCTTGATAGTCACACATAATTCTTAGGGTTTTTTTATTTTTAAAAATTCTTTAATCTGATTTTTCCCCAAGTAAGTTGGTGTCCAGTGCTTTATCTTCAGTCTCACTAATTCTCACTTCCATTGCCTCAGTTCTGCTTCTGTGACTTTCTATTGAATTGTCTAAGTCTGAAATTTTGTTGTTAATCTGGATTTCTGATTGCTGTCTCTCTATGGATTCTTGCAGCCTGTTAAATTTGTCATTGTGCTCTTCTCTAATCTTAAGTTCCTCTATTGCTTTGTCTGTATGTTCCTTAGGTTGTTCTGCATTTTGCCTGATCTTCTTCCTGATCGCTTAAAGAGTTATGTATATTAATCTTTTGTATTCTACCTCCTGTAATTCTAGGAAATTCTTTTCCTCTGGAAAATTTCTTGATTCTTTGTTTTGGGTGCTTGCTGAAGCCATCATGGTCTGCCTCTTTATGGGATTTGATATTGACTGTTGTCTCTGAGCCATCAATAAGTTATTGTATTTATTTATTTTATGTTTACTTACTATGTCCTAGCTTCTTGTTTTGATATGCCCATTCAGGCTGCTCATGTGAGCTAGTTTGATTATTGGTGCCTCTGAAGCTCTAACATCCTGTCACCAGGTGGTTAGATCTGTTACTAGGTGTGTGAGCCCAGGAGTCTGTTTATTTTTCTTGTATGGTCTCAGCTCAAGTGTCCAGGTAGTTGATCACCAAGTGTGTGGTGCAGGCCCTCACCTACAGTCCTAGACAGGAACAGGTGATTGGTGTAGGCACAGGTACCTGGCTGCAGTAGGGGGTCACATGCTGAGCAAGGCAGGGTGCTGATGGCTGCCCCTGAGGGTCTGAGAGGAAAGCATGTCCCTGTTGCCTAGAGCCCATAGGTGGGTGGGTTTTGCAGCCAGACTATGAGCACCCAACACTCTTGGCTGTAAGGACTGGGAGGCACCACTTATTCTTGGACCCCTGTCACAGGTGGCTAGGTGGAGTGAGTGGAGCCACCAGTCCTTAGGCCCCTGATGTGGGTAGGTGAGGACCCTGCCTAATGGACAGAGCAGTGGCAAATATCACAAACCTGCCACTTCGGCATATAGCTGATACAGTTGAAGTTAGCCTTCAGGTATATATCCTGATGTACTGTGGTAAAGAGGGCGTACACTATTGAAATGGTCCCACACAGATCTATGTAGGGGTGAAAGGCATTCAAAGTCCGTGGACCCCTTATGCCTGTGCCCAGGCAAAGGAGCTGTGCCTACTGTAAGTTCCTGGCTTAGGGGAGCCGGCAAATTATTTTTTCCTGTTTGTTAATTTGTTCCCTCTTCAAGGCCGAGAGAATGGCTCAGGGCACGTGATGGGTCCCATTTCTGGCCCAGGGCACTCGGCAGTTGCTGAAGCTGTCCTGGGACCTGGTGCAGAGCGTTGAGGGGGCATGTAAATGGGAGAGAGGGTTTTCCCAAATAGGATGTTTTTTGATCCAGACAGTAGGTCAGAGGCATGTACTTATCTTTTGCGAATTGAGCACCACTTTCACTGGTTCTGGAGGCGAGTAGACTCAGCCAATCAATCTCTCCCAATGTGGAAAACGCCTCCCTAGTGCCACTGCTTGCCTCACCGTGCATGCCAGCCTGTCTGGCCTGAAGGGTGTCAGCTCCTGCCAGGTCAGGTCTGGCAACTCTCACTGCTTGCAAATGGTCTCTCCCTCCCCCGCCACTCAGTCCAATTCCTTAACTTTGCCTTTGATGTTCAGGGCCCCTAGATTGTCATATATAATTGATTCACTTGTTTTTTCGGGTCTTTGTTGTAAGAGGGGCCACAGGAAGTGTCTGACTACTCCACCGTCTTGGCCCCACCTCTGTAAATATTTCTTGAATGAATGTATAAATGGATGGAATAGAGCATTCAACATTTCCGTTTATAGTCCAAAATTCCAAAATGCACCCCACTGTCTACCTTACAAGGAACCCTGGTGGTGCACTGTTTAGCACTCGACTGCTAACTGAAAGGTTGACTGTTGGAACCCAGCGGCCACTCTGCCAAAGAAAGATGCGACAGTCTGCTTCCGTAAGGATTTACAGCCTAGGAAACCCTCTGGGGCAGTTCTCCTGTGTCATAGGGTCACTATGAGTCAAAATCGACTCGACAACAGCTGGTTTGGTTTTTCGTCAGCCTACCTTACACAGCTATAATTGGCATCATTTAATAAATGAAAATTAAAAAAAGAAGTCAGCTAGACTAATAAGATGATAGGGCTTCAGAGTCTGGAGGTGCTGACTGGGCAAAAGGGGAAATAGCCCGTATTTTTACCAGCAGATGTATGAACAGGGATAGCCAGGTGAGTATTTTGCCTAGAAGCATATTTTATAATAATAAGGACTAAAACAGGATTCATTCTACAAAAGCTCTTTCTGTATTAATTTTCAGAAACTTTTTGAACAAATCGAAGCACTTGTATTGTTAATCTCTACCAAGTACCTGTACTACTTGTAAATAGTAGGAAGATAAGTTACCTTAGCACAGTATTCTAGGGTATTTTTTAGTACACTTTAATATAATAGGAATGGGAGAAAAACCTGGAGAAAAAAAAAACTCTTGTTTTGTCGGTATCTCCATACAGTGAATAATTCTATATAGCCAATTGGATAGGCTGAAAGAATAGTGTGCAGTCTATATTAGCTTATAGGAAGTGGTTCTCAATTCATGAGGTTGTGATTTTTTAAAATTTTGTTTTAGTGAAAGTTTTTAATAAATCAGGTTGAATATGATTTTTAATGTTGGGTTTTGTCTTATTGGTTACATTTGTTGAAGTCATAATGTCTTAGAAGTGATTTATCTATTATAAATATTTGATAAACAAATTTGTATCCAAACGGATTTACTATTTTTCAATTTTGTAGCTAACTGCTTGAAACTATGTGTTTCTCAACAGTGGAAATGTGTGTAGCTAGAGCAAGAAGTGCGTGTTGCTTCTTTGTAAATTGACTTGTTTAAATCTGAAGTAGAATTTTCTTCTAGGTATGGCGATTCAGTACTGCATTTTGTTCTGTTAATGAATGGAAGTTTGCTGACATCCTAAGCATGGCTGACCACTTGAAGAGATGCAGTTACAATATTGTAGAGAAGCGGGAGGAAGCAATCCCACTGCCTTGTATGTGTGTGACACGGGAACTCACTAAGGAAGGACGTTCACTACGCTCAGTTTTGAAACCTGTACTTTAGAAACTGTAACTCCACCTCCACAGACATGCAAACATCTAGTATAATTTCTTTGTAATATGTGACACTTTATTAATGTATTAAAGGCTACAACTAGCTAAAACTATTGTCATGGTGTACATAATGTTTTGAAGTGACATATATTTTTGTAAAATAAGTAGTTTAGTTGGGAAAAAGTTGCCTTAATGTTTGAAATGTGTGAAATTTTTGGAACTTGCTGGACAGGGTGATTTAATTTTTAGCTATATAATTTTTGGAGTTAATATTTTTCATGGTGTGCATATTTTGGTTCTTAAATTTTTGGCTTCTTTAACTAACAGGATCCTGACCAAACATTTTATTCCTTATGTTTTCTGTAGGTTGTAACCCATGCATTAAAAAAGTGAACCTTTGATATAAATTTTCACAGCATAGGTTTTTAAGATAAAAAAAATTTAAATGCTTTAAGCACTCCTATAAGATCACTATAAAGGTTTTATTTCCAGTGCTCCCCTTATGCAGTTGTTGGTACGTAGATGATCTCTAGTATATATTTAAATAATATTTAAAATCATGACTAATATTTGGTAATGCCATTTATCATGTTTTAAAAATAATCCACAAGGATGTATTCATCTTATGTGTTAATAATTCTCATACCAAGAGTGCCCATATGCAGCTTTCTTTTTTGTTAGATGCCACGTCTAAAGACTCGTGGCAACGTGGTATGTGTCAGGTTAATGCAAAAACAAAGAAAAAGCCTGTGAATTTACTGTAATTTGAAACTTTATGGTATTATGTATTTGCTAGGTATTTGGTATTTGGAGAAAAGTAAGTATACCTCATTTTAAGTTTGAGTTGGGCATATTGTGTGAATACATTTCAAATATTCAGAATGAAAAGGGCTTAATTTTTTTTCATAAGCTTTTAAAAAATTTTCCTTTGATATTAATTAAAAAAATAAAACTTGTTTTAAGACATTTAAAAATGTGAAATTCGGTATCATCTTTGTAAGAAGACAGTCATGAAATGCAGAAACCTATCTTGACTGGCAATCTCTTTAAAACATTTCCAAGTTAATTTCCCATAGATTAACAAAAACTAAGAATTGCATCTTTGTATAAAGATAAAGGCATAATAGAAAAATATTCAAATATCTATTCTTGAAGTATTTTATTATAGCTTTCAAATTGATTTATACTCTTTATCAACCTGATGTGCTCAGTTGAAAAAAATGAGTGCATCAGTATTCAGAATTAAATTGCAAAGAAGGGGAAATACACTTAAATAATTTGTTTTAGGTAACTTCTGGCATTTGGAAGTCTGCAATGGTGGCAAGTTACCTTGTTAGAAATAATCAAAACTCTATTGTGTCTTCTCTTCCTACATTTGTCCCTGAGGGTGCTGTGTCGTTACTAGGTTCTTGATTCTCATATATGGTGATCAGTCTAGCAGATGCCTTCCTTGGACAGTAGAGAAAAATTTTCATCTACTTAGGACTTGGTTTGGTTGGATCAAGTCCTTAGTACAGCTGAAAAACATAGCATTAAAGACTAATTGCCATTTTTTTTGCCTCACCTTTTTAATTAGTGGAACTGTTAAACACTTATTTCCCTTAAAGTGTGTTTTTTCAAGTGTAAGATTAAATTGCATAAAGTTTCTCTTGATGAAAAAGCCAGAAATAAGATATCAAATACTGTAAAATATAACTCTGCCTTTTAAAAGTTTGCTGAATAGTGTGTCTCTGGTTAGGATAGCACAAGCAGTAACTTGTTTTTTTTTTTTTTTTATGGTTGTGCATTTTTAAATCCATGATTTTTATGTTTAGACTTCTTGTTTCCACACTGGATCATGAGATATTTAACATTTTTTCACCTTATTATATTTCTTTTACACATCTTTGGCTGTTCTCTCTTTTGTTTGTTATGCCACTGTATTATTTTGTTAATTTGTTAAAATGTTTTCTTTGTGCAACATTTGTTCAAATTCTAATAAAATTAATGTTTTCCCATTATATGGCTCAGTAACTTAAAAATCAGAACTTTCATTTAAATAAAATTTTAGTACTTGTTGGACAAATTCCAACCACAGTCATCTTGTTTCTTTAGTGTGGCTTTTCTGCCTGCTATAGGAGTTGCTTGTTGATTGACTACCATTGCTTGCCCACGTTTTACTGGTGAGCATTGAACATACTTTTTTTAAATATTGAAAACTCATTAGGTTTCTCTGCCCCCTCTGTGTCATCTTGAAAGTGGTCCCACCTAGGGGCATTGAAAGGCTGAAGAGCTTCTGGCATGATTGGGTTTCTAAGACTTGTAATGGGAACAATCTGTCCAGCCTTTTAAGCATGAAAAGGTTTGTATGTCTGTCAAGTAGTTTGTCATTCGAGAAGTCTTTGTGGATTTCTTAGTCTTTGCTAACCAGCAAGATAAAGGCCAAGCATCAGGATGGAAGGAAATTCTAAATTCACTTTTATCCTTTGCTTCCTTCCTCAGGGCTGCCTGTTAGCTTAATGTCTGTTGGGTCTCTCTCTTTCTAACTGGCTTTTGAGACTCACGGATCACTTACAGTATGGTTTTGAAAGTGTGGTCCCTGGTCCAGAAGACTCAGTGTTGCTGGGAATTAGTTAGAAATGTAAATTCTTGGACCCCTTCCCAGACTTACTGATTCAGAAACTCTGGTATGGGAACCAGCAACCTCCTTTAGTAAGGCCTCCAGGTGATTCAGATGTGTGGTAAAGTGTGAGAACTTAGAGGAAAGCCTGGAACACCCCAGCTACGCTCCTGAATGATGTGTTATTCGAATGTGTACACGCATGTGTATATACATGCATGTGTATATACACACATGTGAAATCCAAATTAAGTGTGACGCTAAGGTATTAATGGTTAAAATAAGATGATATATGCTAGTGGTCTCAGTCTTACACCCATATGGCAAAATAAATTGGGTACTATGGTGGTTAGAAATTTTTATTTTAACTAGTATTTAAAATTTACCATTACTAGTATTTCACTAGTGTTTCTTCTGTTCAAGGTAAACTGCAGTGCAAGTTTTAGTTCATTAGCACTAATATTTTAGCATAATCATCTTGTCCAGTGGTTGTGGAGTCACGTGAACATGTTAGATTTCTAAGATAAGCAAAGAGTAGAAGTAGAAGAATACTAGGTTAAATCCTGTAAATATATTTGTAGGAATCCTTTCAATCCTATCAATAGAGGTGTTATCGATAGTTGTATGGGATTTTTTTCCTTTTGGTCTTTGACCCTGACCTGTGTATCCCATCAGTGTTGCTATTTTTAACTGTCCCTTACCATTGGATATTGGGATCTTAATCCAATAATGTTGAAGATAATGGAGTTTTCAACAAAACTTCCATATCCCTTAAAGATATGGTAGTTTATATTACTGTGTTGATAAATTTTACCTATGGAAGTTTGACTGTAGTTTTAGGAGTTTGAAAGCAAAAAAAAAAAAAAAAAATCATGTTTTGCATCTCAGAAAGACAGGATTTGTTAATTTTTTTTATTTGCTAAGGAATAGTTATGCAAACATTAAGAAATATGTTTGCCTCATGCATGGCACAGCACATGGGAGCTGATGTGATTGGAAGCTATGGAAGTGGGTATTCTGAGGTGCAGTAGAAAAAAAGCAATTGGCCTTCATTCTCCCAAAAGGCTAGACAAAAAGGCTTTTGATGGAAAGTCTCTGTTTTGTGTTTGCCTGGTTATCTAAATGTTGCTGTAAATAGTCCTTATTTAACATGTTCATGAAGCCTAGAAAAAAAAAGGGAATATTAGTAATGCCTTAAAAATCAATGGTTGCTTGTTCCATTATGTTTAAAATAATCTGATTAAAAAACAAAAAAGAAAACCCCAAAACCAGTTCGAGCACTAAAAGTGAAGTGCTTTCCAAATAAAATAAGGGAAGACAAAGGATGATTTCTTTTTGAAGTGACCTTTTATGCAATTACTTTGCCTTTTATTTAAAAGATCAAAAGATAAGACCTTTCTAATTTCCATTTTATGCATGAGAAAACTGAGGTGCTCCAAGTTGAGTGTATTGGGATATTTGAGTGAGAAACGTGTTCTGAAATGCTTCACTTTTCCGCTTTACAAATGCAAAAAGAGAAAGAGAAATCCTTAGATGTAAGGAAATTATTCTGGAAAATAAGATTGCCTATAATATTTGATTCCTAATTAGTGTTTTGGAAAGAATTATTGGGTAATATAAAAAGGAAACAAGTAGAAACTAACCAAGTATGATTTGTTGCTCTAAAAATAATTTGCAAACACTATAGCCTTTCGCAGAATTTTTGCAAGTATTTTATTGCATCTGTAGTTGATAACATTCTATAAACTCATTATTTATAAATTTATTTGACATGTAGTCTTTGAATACATCTTGAGATGTATTAATGGAGGTATAGAAATACATCTTGAGGTTTTTTGTTACCTTAGAACATTTCAAAACTGACATTTTGTGTTCAGAATTTTTTTTTTTTTTTTTTTTTT